CCAGCACAGAATCAAGTATGGTTTTCTATTGGTGTGCAGGTACGTGACCCGATGGCCGTGTTCTCTCTTGCGGGGATTCAGTGGTAAAACTATTCGGAATCGGGACATTGTGTTCGTTCGGACAAGGTGAAGGCTGTTTGGGGCTATGCTCTAGGAGAAGGGAGTATTGAATTCTTTTTGCGGGTCCTACCCAAATTTGTCAGTGGGACAAAACATGGTTTTCCTTGGGGCGTTGGCTTTTTTCAGTTTGATCTCCACTTGATACCCGGTACTCGGCGATGATTTGTTGAAGTGACTACGGCTACCATTACTAAGCTGCAAAATGTGATCAGCCTCGCCTTGCCTTGATAAGGCTTTGGCAGCAGTCCGAGCGTCACTGCATCACTCTGCCCAATCCGAGTGAGCCAACTGACCTTGATCTGTCTACTGATTTTGTCTAACCGTTTTTGTTGACGACTTCATTCAAACCGAATCGAGCTCCATGTGAAAGTGTCTATACGACTGATAAGATGGCGTCGCTCGTCCAATACTCAGCAGTCGAGCTTTCTATTTAATGACGCTGCAAGACTTAGAAGTTAAGAAAATCTTTACACCTCTTACAGTCAACCAAAATGCCCAGTAAAAAATGGGCTTCTTTGACTCACAGCGGTGATCCAACTGTTTTATAGTGCAATTATTAGAAATAGATACACTCCCGATCAAAATAGCAATGACGCTGTCGCTAAAGTTCTTCATTTGTGCTGTGTTTGATGAAAGTAATGTGTACTACGAGAACAACCAGACAATTTCCTTTTTATGCATGGACAAACATTCGCTTAGTATTGAATTTTAATCACGCTTCAGTGCAAGCAGCATTAACTTATCGATTTTGCTGTCTACTGATTGGCCCTACTCTTTTGCGCGTGACAGCACATGTAGTTTAGCTTTCTCTGCTTGTTGGCTTGCGGCTTACGCGCCGGCTACGGCCGGCTTTTCTGTTTGCACTCGTACAAATAAAAGCACTGACAAAATTGCGTGTTCTACGGCTACCTACAAACACTACAACTTGTTTGCAATTTACTATGGATGGATCCCCGATGCCATCGAATAACGCATATCACCAACATCACGATTATTTGAAGGTCCAAAACTTGTCTGTCACAGGAAGAACACATCGAATCCGGTGACATTGCAAACCTTCTCCAAACCAAGGATTAGTTCCCGATACTTGGATGTCTACGGAAAAAGAACCAAAGGACTGTTGACTAGGAAAATTCACGCTCCAGATGCCACCTATTCACGATAGACGAATGACTTTGTCAGACGAATCGTCAAGTATATGTATGCAAGTTGTTAAGCACAGTTTATCACGATACGTCAGACATGATTCCATAAATCGAAGCCAGTAAAACTGGGAAATTCATCTCCAATGAAATTCTTTCATAAAAGATATGGTGTTTGGCATGGATTTACCCTGGTAATGCTGGCCAGGCCTAGTGTGATTGACTAAACCCACCCTGACAGTCCATCATCTCTCCGTTTATGGACACCCACGTTTTACCTATGAAAGCAAACATCAAGTTTGAACATATTATTTATTGTCACTAGGTTGCATAGCCTATTCCGGAACATTTCGTTGCATCTTTACTAATACGTGCGGCGGCACTCACTAGTAAATTTCTCCCTGAATACATCAAGCAAACTAATCACACTGATTTATGTGCTCCAATTTCCATCCGCAATCGCTAAATTAGTCTCTGTTATTGGGCCACTGGGCGTAATCACTAAGTTGACTAGCCCTCACGTAAATCTGTTTGCCTCGTAGAATTTACCGACCAAAAATTCGATTTACTGAATATACTCAATCCGAGTTTTGGAACACCAGACTAGCAAGTGCTTTTGTTTTCGGAGAGTTCTTCTCCTGGCAAACGGCAAAACGTAAATGGTGCGTATGAACGACATCAAGTCAAACTTATGCAACATTGCCTGTGGCGGGTAATTTTCTACAGAACATTGGGGACATAGGAAAGATTGTGCTAGGGTTATGAAAAATTAAATACGAGAAGTACAAACCAGTCTCGTTGGGCTTACGAAGATCGGTGGTCTTTCATTTGGGATATTCAAGTCTCTTTTCGCAGTGCACGAACCTTGTTAAAAAGCTTGGTAGTTACGAGAACCTGATCTTCGTCGACTGTGCCACTCGTCATTAGTAAATCTTTTAAGTCCTTTCATTCATTATACAACAATAAGCACTATTTCGGGAAGGAGCTAGCAAAAATTCAGTGGTTGTTGATTGGGGAATCAAACCCGGGGACTAAAGTTAAGGCCTAAAGTGTGGGACAACGACCGCCTCTCAGACTCATATTGGGACTACCTAAAACGGTGAACAAATGAGATCAACAGGACAAGAAGACAGCTAACCTCAGACAGACCAAATGAATATGTCGAAAGACTTCCGGTTATGTTGTCGACAGCGGATATCTAATACAGTTTGTGCGCATAGATTCGCAACAGCGTGCAGATCCGCTTGGTACTCGAACTCAGCCAAAAGGAAGTCGCAATGTTACTAGATCAAAATTCTAGAGGACGGAATTGAGTCTTTCAATGACAAGTAATCCGGATAGACGAAGTAACACCTCTTAGTTAAGGACACATAGGTAACAGCAGAACTATGCAAATAAACGGTCAGGGCAGATTGCTCTTCTGCCTGTGCTAATGGCTGAGAGCTGACGACTTGACGTAACTTAGTAATCAAACCTACAACCTAATATGGGCAAAATATTTCAGTGGAATTTTACCCTTCAGTCCGAGGCTACCAACGGAGGAAACATGGACTAACTGCATAGTTTACTGACTGAAGTTCCCATGACTTAGTAAATAAAATTATTGGTCGCCCTGATCCAGACAATATCATATGTTCATTTCAGATCGGTCCTTCAGCATCATTCCCCATAACAAATAGTTTGAAATATCATTGTTCTCGGTTGTCTTTTTTGATTGTTCACAGGAAATGTTGGCCTCTAAGTGCGCTAACCTTGTGTAACTTTGGTAGACCACAGTACATTGTTGTTTTGGTTCTGTAGTGGTTCTCTCCAGTTTCATTAGGACGAAAGGTTTTCCAACTTTGGCTCACCTACGCTTTCTTCTGGACAGCTACGCAGATTTTGGTTAATTAGCAGGTTAAATCCCACTTTCAAAGCGAATGGTCAACGAAGGACTGGAAAAAATTTGCACTTTGATGAGTATTTTAGTAAAAGAATGATGTCTGATTCATCCCTGTAGATGCAAGATGAGTAAGTCCGATTCCTGAACTATAGTCAAGTTTATCCGGTGCCTAGACAAAGTTGCTGTGAGGCGCTCTCCTCAGAAACTAAATCAACTAGCCGAGGTTTATTGGCACTACTACTCCAACGGGGAATGCTGGGGCAAGGGAACGACGTGAATATCAAGGCGAACGGACGAACCAAACGAGGGCCGCAGACAAATGAACAGACGGCGAATATGTTGGAGGCTTCTCGAAGTAGACAAAAGGAGGCATACGGACTACCAGATGGGAAGCAGGGGGATCTCCGGCAACCAGCAACATAGCCCAGGTGAAGAGCTGCTGATAAAGCCGTCAACTGAGACAATCGGTCCAACCGAATTGAAACGGTTTCCAAGAGAAGCAAACTATCGGCCACGGGCAACTGGCCAGAACGCAGCCGAAGCGCCCAAGCAGTGGCAACAGCAATGTTGGTGCCGCGCAGTCTGGAAAAGGGCCTATATAAACGATTGTGTTTCATGACTTGACTTGTTTGGCATTTGGAATACAAGTATCCTACCCCGTCTTGTCATCCTTGTTACACTACGAACAGTAGTCAATTAGTGTCAAATGTACAAACCTCAAGACGTAGCTTCCTCTGCGTAATCACCGTTTGCTCACGTTCCGTAAAGCTCGGAAAGGATAACACGTACTATGGCCAATTGGCCGAGCTGGTTAACGGACGAGTACAGTAATAACAGACAAGGGAAGGAACGCGCATTTAAGGGACCCAAACGAAACGCTAAGGCGAACATGCGGACATCGATCGATGGGTCTGACCAACCCGTGAATAGGGCATGGATTCGCTCAGGCATACAAATGCACGTTTAGTCACGAGTCGAACAGATCAGTCCTGTGTGGGAGCGTGTATGTACGTCAGTATGTGTGTGCGTGCTTATACATGCCTGCCGAATGAAGCCGATCAGAATTCGTTGCCCAAACCGAACAGTCTAGTCCAGAGTCAATCAAGGTAGTGGTGGTTCAGCGTGTGTGTGTGTCTGTGTACGTGTGTGTGCGTGCGTGTGTGTGTGTGTGTGTGTGTGTGTGTGAAAAATGGGCAACGCTGGAGAGAGCTGAGTAATCCCGTGAAGTGATAACAGTGCAATCATGTGGTCAACGTCTAATGAATTACGAATATGTCAAACAGGCCCAATCGTAGCATAGGTTGGTGTTGATGAATGAGCAGGAGCAAAACAGATTCAACAGTGGATTACATCCCAATTTCTAGGGCGAAACGCCTGACTTTAAGAAAGATGTATACTAATATGCATCTCACAAAAAACTCAAGATGTTCCATTGCACTTGAAAACGTATTGTCCATAGCTTACTTTGATCGCCAATCGACTCCTTTACGTGGTTTCAGCCAGCACTTTCTGGAGGAAGAGGCCAATCTCTTGTGGTTGAGCCCATATAGACGGTAGGTTAGATTTCCTAATTTTTGATGTACGGATCCAGACACTAGAAGGTGTTGCAATCACCAAGCTATGAAAACTGCGGACTGCGTCGGACAATCGAACGCTTTCCACATATACGTACCCATGAACGGCAGAATACATCTTTCAAATTGGTTGGACTTTCTCAAAAAGATTACATCATTCGAGATAAGGATTAGAAACATTTTTGGTGTGTGTATGTGTATGCACGTGCTTTGATCTAGGATACATGAAAACCAGGCTGGAAATTTTCTAATATTATTTGCGTTTGAATTCGAGCTTGTTCTATGGGAACTGTGAATCGTGATCGACTTTATCAACCTTTTTCGAACAACCAACATGGATTTAGGTAATTTGACGAAATACTAAATTGCTGCTAACAAGTAGCCAGAGGCGTCGTCCAATTTTATGTTCCACAAGTCTGTGGTAACTTTTTCCTATGGATGAGGGGTTGGCAGAATTCCAACGAATTTCTTTGGCTTAGTCTCAGTTAACTAAACCGGTATGCCTTTAAATTCAATGCTGATTGCGGAAGTGATACCGTTGGCGAGAAAATACAGTCTTCATCAGCAGCATTTATTTCACCCACTCGATCCAATAACTTTCTGACTCCTTCATTCTTCCGAAACTCGAATCCGGATATCCCGTTGTCTGAACCGGCATCGTCGGTGAGAAGGTACAACAAATAAGATCACTGTGCTTTGTCACAAGATTCGATGATGACTTACTTCGGGGGTCGCCGGAGGGCTCTTTAGTTTTTCTCCAAATAATACGGGCAGTTCCGTGGAAACCTGTTCAGTTTGAAAAAAATCTTTCATGGCGACATGCGTGCAGAACCGTAAACGGAGCTTCTTTCAATAACGTACCAGGTACTTGGAATACTCCAGTGATGGGATAAATTCGGGTGACCGGTTTTTCCTTCGTTTATCGTCTTCTGCGGAAGGCGAACAAATACCAGTTTGCTTCACCAGTGGTTGTAGTGCAATACAAGGACTACCTCGGGTTCAGCCGGGGCCTGAGCCTTAACTCGATGGCCACGAGGTAGAAAGCTTCTGTTTAAAGGGATTCCACAGAATCGAGGTGATGAAGCTTATACGGGATGATTATTTGAGCCTCTTTCGTTGCTGACTGGAGACCGAAATATGATTCATCCATTGCTTTGCGATGACCGTATCAGAGTGAAATCTCGTGAACATATCTCTAGTTTTTCAATCTCACTTCACACGTGAAGATGTCAGATGTGATTTTCTTCCAGGCCTCCTGTTGACTTAGGATAAGACTTTTCCCAAGACCTGAGTAATTTTATGTTTTGATTGGTCTACTTTCGAACTCGGAGATCGCCCTAGTGTAAGGCAGAACGTTTTCAAGCTGTCTTTACGTTACTTTTTGTACCGACCATAAGGCCACTTTGTCAGGTGGATTTTTCTCCTGTAGTCGTCAAGTAGTACAGAATATTATACATTGATTGTTATTTTTCTTTGGTCTCCAAAAATTTTGTTATGATACCTTGGGTAGTTTCTCTAGAAGTAAAGAAATTGATCCGCCCCAGTTACTTACCGAAACACAGTTTTTCGTGATGTGCCTTTGAGTGTTTCTGTAACCGTGGCGTTAAGATGCGACAGACAACTGTTTCACTTCGTATCTAGGATAGAGATTATATGATTACAGTTTTTGATACTTTTGATGGCTTTTTATTCCATACTTGAGCATGAGAGAAGAATCATGTGCATCGCATCCTCAAACATTCCCTATGCTGTTATGACAAGACAAAATGACCTCCAGGCTTCGAATGGAACACCATCTGAAATCCCAATATGTCAGATGTGGTAACGAGTCGGGCTGCAGCAAATTGCTTGGCAATTAATAACCTGCCAATTTCTGGTTGTTTTCACCATCGACACCTCGCTCAGTTTCTCTGTCCCCTTTCAGAGTGAACAAAATGATGTCAAATCTTTCACTAACAACATGAAGCGATGTTTTATGTCTGCTTTACTTGACACACTGTTACGAAATCATTTGCATTAGAACTCGGCGTTTGTGGAAAATATCCTGAGCAAACCATTGCAATATTAACAATACCGCATTTTCAGTGGTAAAATTGTAATACATTTTCATATTGACACAATGAGCCTGAGTCTCATATAATAGGAAATTCACTTGAATTTTTCACATCCAAAAGTGGCTCATCGCAAGCCGGCTCGTAGCGCTGGACTTTTGGGTTTGAAAACTGCAAGTAGATTTTCTATTATATAAAATTATAATCAGCCGATGTTTCTGTTAATGCGGGTAATCAATCCAAATAAAATAAACTCGAGGAATCAATTTTAAGTCTAAGGATGTCAAATGGTGCGTGTTAATTCCTTCGTTCATTAGACTGACCAATTTTAGTCACTCCCGACTCCCAGCATTAGGGATGATGGTGACAAGGTTGACGGATACTTTGATCTTAGTCATTGTTGCCAACGCAGTCCGAATTCCAGGAATCTCAGCTTTTTATCCAGGCTGTGTGTTCACTGCTGAAAATTTCGGCATGCAAGCGCTCAGTGTATGTTTTTAACCTAAGTCGAAAAATATGGTCTTGCCACGTGTGAACAGTGATGGCTGACTACTGTCCTAAGGGTGACCTATTGGAGGTCTTCAAAGAGCTCTTTCACTTGGGTTCCGTAATGCTGAGCCTGAGCAACCTGCAAGTGTTTCCAATATATTCACCCACACATTCCTCACAACTGATTCCGTAAACACGGTTCTGTGACCTTGAAAATCCAAGTAGATCTTTGGTCTTCTTGAGGGAGCCTTTCAGAGTGCTGTCATTCCGGAAGAAAGTACGGATATTTTAATCACTAACAACCTTACTGATGGTCTCAGATTAGTCTGATTTGTAAGAGATGCCAAAGGAAGCCAAAGTCTTTTTCTTGGGTAGACTGGATCGACTGGCTGTTTTTCCCTACTTGTTTCCTATCAAATGTGTCGAATGGAGCTTGCCTTGTAAAACTTTTATGGGTCTCATTTATTTCTCGTGGGAGGCATCTTCACTGGGGTTTTTCAACTGTGTTTGGTATAAAGGAGATAAGCGTTCCCTTTGCTCACTGTGAAAGAACGGGATAGAGTTAATGTGTCAGAACCGAGATTTGTTCGGAGTGTATCGAAAAATTGATGCGCCATGTGAAATGTGGAGGTAGAATTTTATTGCTCAGTAACACAGCGTAGTCGAAATCGTTGGTAGGTTATCGACGTTTCGGTCACCACGGGTAATAATAAAGATAAAAAGTCATGGAAACAATTCTCAACCCATTACAAGCTGTATCCGATGATCAGCGAGCTCCAGAGTGTCTTCAGATGTGGTAGTACCTTGTTTACTTTATCATCCAACGGCCATTTTTGTCGCAGCTTAGTCTTCCCTTTTCTGAATCTTCCTAATTTGTTTCACTGAAGCGAGTTCTCCGAAGTTAGCTAGCACTTCTAAAAACGTTTCGAACTAAATGACTGCCACTAAATTATTGTAATAATGTTCCCCCTATGATGTATTCATCTTTTACTGTACCATACAGAAAAATCTTCATTTGGTTATTAGGGGTTCATAAATATCAATGATATTGTTAATTAAAGAATTCCAATAATATATATCCTCCTAACTTCCATTTCTGAAAAATTCAGCAGGCGAAGCGGATTGTGTGATTTTTCAGTGAATCTGAATTGCTTGCTCGTAAAATGGCCCGTTTCGACCTTCAGTTTTAGTCGGCTTTTCCGGAGTTAATTCATGTTAGGTTTTTACCGGTAAAGAGATCCAGTCGTCGAACCGATATGAAGACAAAAATAAATGCGCCTCTATGACAGTGGATTGATCGATGGCTGTTCTACTTCAGCGGATCAATAGAAACTGTTACTATCTCTGATGCCCACATTTTTATATTGTAATTATGTGTGACGTCTAGTTGTCACTATCTCAGATTGAGAGATTTGAATCGTTCGTACTCGTTATCAAAAAGTGCACCACATTGAGGATCATGTCCAAATATGTTAATTAGAAATTATCGAACCGGTCGTGAAACCTTTATCCTAAGCTCGAAATGTGACACATGTAATAGAAACTGGTATTCACTAGCATTGCGTTGCTTTCGTTGGCATATTACCAGCCTAGTTATGAAATAAATAACGTTAGTGAGGCAGAGGCGAATCCAGCTCTTAATTGGCGAAGCACAATACTTGCCAAACTGAATCACTTTATTCCTACTGAAAGTAATCTTTATGCGTTTGACAACAATCTAAGTTTGACAAGTTATTCTGGTAAATGGAGATTTCTGTCAGGCTGAATCTCATCAGGGCCAATGACTCGTAACATTTGTCAGGTTCGTCAAACTGCAAACTACAGACAAATACACCCTCTTTTCTTCAACTAGTGAATATTAGCTGATTAGTAGGAAAATGCTGCTCTTTGTAGTCAAAATGAAAAGTCACCTTGGAAGACGAAATGAACAAATGTAATTCGGGTTTTTAGAATCTGGTCCATTTTCGAAGCGTTTAAATTGCTTGGCTCAAAGGGCACCAACTGTAGTGTGGCTTGAAGGGTTTTTTGTACATGAGGTCAAATCCCCCCGGGGTCAGCAAAGTTTATCGATCCAATGAACACTCACTCAGAAAGCTGGGTCCCAACCGGTTCATTCGACGCATATTGATAATGCCTGAACGATTTGGAGGAATCGAATGTCTCACTTTCACTCGGGTTGAGCATTTACTGCAAGTGATTTGATAACCTGATGCTAATAATCCCCTGCAAAAATCAACCTGCTTGATACCTCTCTATCCGGAGTGCATTTTTTAAACTCTGTTGGTTGTTCCACTAACAAAGCTGACAAACCTGAATGAATAAATCCATAGAATACGTTTCTGTTGGGAAATTTGATTTAATAAAAAGAAATGATTTTTTCAGGGTTAAATTGACCTACACTGAAAAACAGTTGACTTCAGTGGTATATTTATCCAATCAAAGAGACCGTCAACTTTTCAACTGGGTGTGCAATCATTTAAACTAATCACGAGGACAAATCGGAGGTTCTTAGTATTGTGGTTAGTCGCCCAAGAAACCATGGAAAAAAACATCCTGCTGTTTGCTTTCATTTCGACCGTCCCTTATGGTTTATCTTCAAATGGAGTGTATCATTTGAATAATTGTTTGATGAAGGATTGATGACCAGTGAGATTTATTTGTGAAACAAGCAAGGGCGGAAGTTAGTTTTATAGCAAATAATGACTCATCAAACTATTTGTTACCAATTTTAGCACCAGATGGGAATTCTTCGAATATCGATAAAAATATGGATTTGGTCGAATCTTCCCCTGGTCTATTTTTCG